CTTTCTCTGGGGATCAAATATTTTGATGGAGGTTAAAACTTTTAAGGAAAGAAAAGCCCCCATCCACATGTCAAAGGATTATTCTCCAGGTAGTGTAATAAATTTATGAAGGAGGGTAAAATGCTTTACTCCCGAAAGTATTAGCAGTGATTATCTTGGTTTTCCACGTCCAGTGCTAGTGATCTCTCACTGCAGAGCTCCTGCAGACTTGAACTATATAACCAAATATGGGGTACACAAATTGTCACTTTTGCAGACCTTACATTTGTTCTCACGTTGTCGAATCGAATTCGGGAGAAATGTTTTTGTCCAGTAGCATTCTGCTTTACAGCTAGAATTATAATGGCAGAGCACCGCAGTTGGAAAGCATTGGGCTGTTCTTTGTTTAAGCTACATTTCTCCATTAAAATTTCTTTCCGTAACTCTCATATTATTTCTAGCATTCTTTCTATTTTCATCAGTGACGCTTTAATCGTTTTACTTTTTTCCACTGGTGTGCTGAAATAAGAAGTCCCCCCACCCATTGAAATCTTATGTTATACTGTATTTTTAGGGTTTAAATTCAGCCAGAGTCCGGCTGAGCTATTTTAGTTTTTTTTTTTTTTTCTAAATTGTAAGTCCAATCGGAGCCTCAAATAAATCCAATACTTCTTTTATTTAACTATTTATAATTAATTTAATAATTTATTAAATTTTTATTTATGCCCTTATATTTATTGAATTTTAATTTTAAACTAATTATTTTAACCATTAGTTATTGTATTTATTTTTCCCCTTCTTCCTGATGGCCTTTCAGATGCTCCAGCACTTCTGATTTTAGAAATTAATCCGTGATGATATAGTATTTCTTCCCTATCATGTTCTCGACGGCTTCCGTATTGTTTTCTGTTACTGCTGAAGCAGAGAACCCTCCATACGAAGATGTCGATCTTCATCTTCTCAGCCTAATCATATATAAAACTCTTACACCTGCCATTATACTGAATTCTTACTTGATATTGGAACTCTAAAGATTTAAGGCTTAGCAAAAATCATTTCAAATTTTTTCTCCCCTTAACTTACTTCGCTTGCTTCAGTTAACGAAATATTTTGCTTCACTTAACGAAGATATTGCAACACAGCTGCTCTTGCTTGGTGCATTGTTGCAAGAAGGCCGCCATCGTATCAAACTGATTCTTGTATGATAATGCTTGCTTGTTAAGTTTATTTTTAGACCAGGTGAATCGGATCGTATTCCTCTCATTTGTAACCGTATATTGGCAGCTCAAGGCCAATGTCTTGCATGTTTGAAACAACAATCATATCGGTCCTGAACCTGATTTTTTTATTCAACTTTCCTAGTTTACTACTAAACGGCCTGAAGTAATATCTTTTAATTTAAAATGTAAGATTTTACGTAAAATAGGTTAAGTCTATATCAATATTGTTATTACTTGTCTAATTAAGCGTTTATTTACTTTCTGTTATTTCTGTGTGCTGTAGTTTTAAAACTATTTAATTTATTTTAAACTAAAAGGTCTCCGCACCCTACTCCTCGTGCTTTCTAACCCCTGAAAATATGCATCGCGTGTTCCTCCAGGTTTGCATAGTTCATGCTTCAAAAATATAAGAAATGGCTTAACAGACAACCGCAGAGAACTCGTTGGCAATACCGAAGATAATTTTTATTGAAATTCATATAAAAAAACTGCTATATTATTGTAAAAATAATGTAACATTCACGTAATTCAGCAAATATAAAAGAAGTTTAGATAATTCATAATTATATTACTATTCACCATAAATATATTATTGTAAAAAGAATATAAAATTCACATAATTCAGCAAATATAACAACGCCATTGCTTTGCCGATGGCGATGTTATTTGTCCATGCTCAGTCTTACAACTGAGTTTACCAGCTCGAGGTCCGTGACACATAACCCACAACCATTTAGCCGACAAGATACTTAGCCGATACGGACATTCAGCTAACAAGACTGTTAACCGACACGGACACTTAGCCGACAGGAAATATAGTCGACAGATCATGTAACCGGCACGGAAATGTAGCCGACAGCACGATCAGTTGACAACACGTACATATATATTAAAAAAAGTGACAATGTTTTAGTAAAATTTGTCCATATTTATCTGAAAAACGAGCTGTTTTCAGGTACCCAACGAGAAGCTTTATGAATAAGTTCCATATTTTTTTACTTTAATATTAAAGAAACTCTGGATTTTAAAATTAAACAGAAAAGCAACCTTATTTTGGCTTACATTTTATAGTCAATTTCCACAGTAATCAGACGTAGGTCTCTATATTTCGGTTTGGGTTATTTGATTATGACAAAGCACTCGAAGACTATCTGCCTAAGGGAACAGATGCATTCGTCTAGGACTTCCTTGAGTAACATATACTTCATATAAATGAGGAAAAACACTAAAACGCCCATGCTGTGTCGGTATTCGAACGTCAGATCGAATTAACAGTGTTCAGAGAATTTACCGCTCGGCGGTTGTGGGCTCCGTCTCTGTATTTCAGAAGTGGTAATAGAAAATTTCAGCATTCGGAAAAGCGAATCGATTTCATATTTAAAGAAATGATTGGAGCGAAGCGAAAACAAATGTAACATAATCTATCGCGTAAAATAACAATGAAACGTGAAAAAAACTAAAATATTAGAATTTTGAAAGCGTTGAAAAATTAATGTAATTTACTAAAGAAGAAAAGTTTTTGTTTACGTGAAAAAGTTCAAAGAAATCTAGTTTGCGTTACGTTTATTTTTGCTTTGCTCCGAACATTTTTTCTCTATAAAATCGTTTCATTCTTCCGACTGCTGAAAATTTCTTTCTCACTTCTGAAATATAGAGACTTATGTCTGCTTGCTCTCGAAACTGATTTCAAAATCTGTACCGAAATAAAGTTACTTTTGTGTCTAATTTTAAAATCCATAGTTTCTTTAACATTCAATTAGGTAAAAAATATAGTAATTGTTCAAAAACTTTAAGTACCTTTGCAACAGCTTTTTTTTTAACCGCATAAATATGAACAGAATTTACTAAAACATTGTCGCACGTTTTTGTGTCTACTATATATACGCTATGGCAGTTAAACCTCTTGTCGGTTAAATGTCCTGTTGGCTAAATGTCCGTGTCGCTGAAATGTCCTGTCAGCTAAATGTCCTGTCTGCTAAATGTCCCTGTTGGCTAAATGTGCTGTCGACGAACTTCGTATCGGCTGAATGTGCTGTCGGCTGTGTGTACGTATCAATTAAATGTCCTGTCGGCTAAGTGTCCGCGACCATCACAGCTCAGCATCTACAGAGTGTTTTAAAATCATTCACATTTGTGATCTGCTTAAAATAATTCTTGGGATACTACTCCTGTAGATAGATGTCGGAAAGCATACTAAGCAGCAAGGGATCTAGAAAAAATTTGGCTTTATGCATTTGCTGGTCACAAATTGATTGTAAACGCGAACTTGAAATTTCCATTTCTTCAAACAGCTGTTAATAAATAGCTTCTGGAAAAGAAAAAAAAAAAAAAAGAGAGAGAGAGACCTTCTTGGTACTTTCTTCTGAGGGGGCGAAAAGTCCATATTAAAGGCTAAGGGGAAGGAAAATATTTCGCAGGCAGTTGGTTTCAATGTGAAATATATCATCTCCACACCCTGCGGTCATGCAGTAGAATAATACCATTAAAACCCAGTCTCATAAATTAAAAATAATTTCTCAAAAGATTCAGTACTGTAATTTCCAGAACATGTATAGTTTATATTTTAAACCTATTTCATCCGTTTCAAACTATAACTTTTAAAAGTAAATATCCTACTGCTATTTCCCAAAGCCTGTACCCATTTATCAAACAAGCTACATTGAAATATTCGGATGTTCAAAAAATATTTTAGCACAGTTCTGTTTAAAATATAAAATTTTATCATCTTCGTGAGAACATCGGTTAAAATACTTATATTGCAGTGTTCTTGAAATTTCTTGATAATTTTGATGCATGTGATGGACTAGCCGCCTTATCGCCTTGAATACCTTAAATTTTCTGAAAACATTGATTCCGTAGAACCATTCTAATAAGCAACCTGAGAAGAATCTTGAAAATTAGGTAGTTATGACATGACAGATATCTATTTCTACCCCCCCCACCCCAAAAAAAATCACTCCAAGCTTCTTTATTGAAATGTTATCTGGTCAAAATGCAACATCGCGCCAAGTGGTCGAAAGGTACTTTAACTCAAAAATACAGCACAAAGTATGCCATGCATGACGTCACTTCTTTTCCTGTAAGGAATGGGATTACATCCTTTAGCAGCTATATTAAATTATTGCAAGTTTCATGTATATGACGTGAATTTTCCGCGAATTTCATGTATATTTTCCGTGAAATTTTTTAACCGAAAAGTATTACGTACAGATTTAAAAAAAATTAAAAAATCTAAATCATTAATTGTATATTAACCTGGATATACAAAATAAGTTTTAAACACCTTAAAGTCTTGCTAATACATATATCATAGGCACCATGCAAAAACCAGGAATCTGCATAGTCATGGTTATCTTCATAGTCAATCTGCATAGTCATAGTATGTTCCGAAACATGTAAAAGTTTGATACGTGTCTGTTTTGATTAAAAAATACAAGTTATGATGTCTGTATAATAATTCTTTTATGCGCAATTCAGCTATCATTTAACTTAGTTTAAAGTTAAAAAAATAAGGGGCGAAAAGCTTATACAATCATTACCGAAACAGCAAAATGTGTTGATTTGTGGTTCTAAGTGATATTAACTTTCATATTATTTTTTCTCTTTCCTTGTGTTCTACATTGCAGTTAAATACGTCATGTATAAGAATTTTTTATACCCCTTGATTGTTTAGTTTACGCATGTCTGTTTCTGATTTTTAATTTTTGTTTCTTTTTTAGGTGTTTTAATTTCATAAGTATATCTGAAATGTTGCATTTCAAATTTGATAAGTATATTAATGAATGTTTTTATTTTATACAGCTTCAACAAAATGCTCATGATGTTAAGCAGCAGCCGCAACATATGGTGCAAAATCAACCTAACATGTATGGAAACTATTCTTCCCAACAACCAGTTAGTAATCCTACGTTTCACGGATCCATGTCACAGTCGTTATCGTACTCGCCTCAGTTCTCCTCTAATCCAACTATAAATAGACCGCCTCCGGAATATAAGGCACAGCAGTCTAATTTAGCTACGGAAAATCTTCATCTTGTTGAACAGTTGAATAATCCCCAAGTCATGTTCAATAATTCTGCCAAACATAAATACACCAAGCAGCAGAGACCACCAAATGTTACAATAACACCTGATGGTTCTGCTATTAGTTCTTCTGGCGAATGGCGGCATAGAATGATCAATCAACAGAATAATCAGTTTAGGATGAATTCTTTCCCTCATCAAGAGACGTATGGCAAGTGTGATGCGAAATGATCATCTCAGCTCTGCTGTTCATCCAAGCCCTATGTATAACCAATATAGGATGCCCAATAATCAAATCTTAACAGGAAACCGTATGGCGAGACCTAGTATGATGCCAGCGAATCAGATGTTAGTTCAACAAAGGCAACGGATTCCAGTACCTCAGCAACGATCGAGAAACCCATCAATGGTTGAATTGGATCATCATTCTTCGCTTGGAATAAATAACAGTGCTCTTTCACAAACTAATATGATGGGGCCTGTGTATACTAATCAACAAGATATCAACAGGCAAGATGGCAGCCAAATAAATTTAGACTTTTTGGACAACATCGAAAGTAGTGCCTCGGATTTGTTGAACTTCGATCAAGTCATTCAAGGAGGAGGATCACATTTTCCATTGTTGGATGACATGGGTATACTTGATAAATAGGACCCAATGGTAAAATGGAGTGCAATAAAGCTGTTTTCGCCCTGATATGTATTTGCGTGAAAGATTATCATAAATACAGAATATTGTGAACCGTACAATATATATTTTGTATATGTTGTGTATATGCATTCAAAACACGGGCAATCTTTCGAATGTGCCATAAAATGGCAATAACATTTTATGAGGGACATGCAGTTTCCATACCGAGGTGAATCGTTGTAATAAACTATGCGAAATTCACTGTGAATTGTAGCTATTTCATAGTCGTTAAACGAACAAAGCAGGGCGTTTTTTTGTTTCAGAAGAGCATACGGAGTTTCCTGTATATGCTTTTAGATTCAATGTGATGTATACCAAGTTTTCAAATGAGAATTTTATCTTAGCTATGACTATGCTAATTATGTCGAATGTAAGTCTTGAAAAATGTAATTAAAAATGGTGCAATGTGAATGTTTTACATAAAATGTCATATAAAGCAATCTTTGTATACATTCAGTGCATTAAGAGATTAAAATGTTTTCAATTAATGATTGTTGTTTCCATTTAGACTGCATATATTACATTAAAGGATTAATGTGACAAATGTTCTGATAAAATTAAACTCTGCATTTCGTCTTATCTTACATTTTCTTGTAAAAACACGAAATTTGGAATTATTAACGTGAAACTAAAGTTCCATTTAACGCTATAATAAAATAATTTTAATAATAATTTAAATTCCTTTTAATAATTTTAAAGTTGCGTTCTTAATTTTAAAAACGGTGAACATTAATAATCTGCAAAACTCAAGTTTTGTCTTGCGCTGTTTCCAGTTATAAAATATTATTGCAGCTTTTAGGAAAAAACAGTGGTCTCCTTTTTTCATATGCAGATGTATCCTGTAAAGCAGGTTTTGAAAAATGCTTTAAAAAAAATGCGCTTTTTTTTTTTTTTTTTTTTTTTTTTTTTAATAGAATATTATAGAATACTCATTGCTTGGTGCAAATTCACCAAATAACGGGGATGGGGCAAAATCCGCATATGCTAGTAAGAGTCACTGTACCATTATCTAGCTTTGGTAGTTTGTAGATTTCTGAGTTCTGACTGATATATTTAACAATATTTATTAGTCACAGGTGAGGTCTGTTGTTTTCTATGGGCGTGGATCTTCAAGTTGTGACATTCCGTACTGCAGACCATAAGAAATGGTGATGATATTCGAACCGATAATGCCTGGGGTCACTTGTTCCGTTATGTGCAATTACTGTTGTCTCTAAGTCCGAATCTTACTGATACACAGGAGTCGGACAATGCTGTGTATATAATTGCATAATGTGTGTAAACTGTGTACCATGTTCGAAAATACTTTCTTTCTTTCCACCGACAGCCGGTCCACTGGGGCAGTCAGCATATCGGCCAGATAGCCCCGCTGACGGAATTAACTTGGTTCACATAACACACTTTGGTGCATATTGTGCTCAAGACGAGTGCTGGACGCGGTGCAAGTAAATGCTGGGCGAGTCGATAGTTCTGTGATGGAAGAAGGGCCATTGCAGATGAGGAGAATAATTTCAGTTACACATTTACAGAGTTATAGATAGATAGTTACAATAAGCATCCAGAACGTGAACAATAAATGAGTACTGTACAATATATGAGCAATTGACTGAGTGACTGATAAAACAGCAAAAATAAATCATAAAAATAAGGCAAAATACATAATTCAAAATTAACAATTCAAGGAAATAAGTATAAACAGGAAAAAGCTAAAATAAATTAACTATACGTACAGAACATACGGAGGCTGTGGTGGTGACGAGGATGGCAGCTGAGAATTACTTCAGCCTGTCTGAGATTTTACGTGCAATATTAACGCAATCGCATATGCATTTTAAATGCATAGCGATTTTTCAAAGTAGCTTCGGACCATGCATGGATGTGATCCTCTACTGGCTGCCTAAGATGACGTTCGGCAGTCTCTCTGCAAACGAACACATAGTGGTCTGGATCTCCTGCCATCTCGCATGAGCAACTGTCGTTTCCGCGTCGTCTGAAGCGATGCAGGTAAGTCATAAAAGGAACATGCGCTGTTAGAAACTGAGTGAAGTGAGGGGAGCCACTTTTTAGAAGCCGGCAGATTTTGGAGTTCAGGCCTATAGTATTTTGGTGTCTTTTAATAAAGGCACCAAAATACGATAGTTTTTGTATGGCTCTGACGAGTGGAATTTTACTGCATGTGCCTTGTATTTCCTGAAGGCTAGAGGCTAAGTCTGAATAAATACTGGAATAGTATTCTCCAGTGCATAGACTAGTGCAGCTTTTAATGCAATCAGTTCAGCCTGAAAAACTGAGTTGTGGTGCCTAAGCTTTCTTTACCAGGTGTTTAAGATATGATTCCCATGAAGAACACAGTATCCGCTATCGGTACCACATTCTTCTTTGGAACCATCGGTGTAGATTGCAAGTGGCTTTGAACCACGTTAGTGACTTACAGAAAATCGAAATATTGAGTTAGAAAGTACTCTTATGGAAGTTTTCCCACATCTTCCCTTATTCTCACATGCTTTGCCATCGGGCTTATGCTTATGCTGTTTATGAAGTTTCTGTAATTGCGTGCGGGTGGAATATAAAGGAGAATGCACTTTCACTTCGAAGTCAACACTTACATGCCTAACTGTATTGTAACTGAGTATCTGGACGAGTCTCAGCGCGCTGGTGGTGATAACTTTCATCTGAACTATTAAATGATTTCCTTCCCGTTAGGCTGAGAATTGCACGTGTAGGAGAAATTCTCTAGGCCTTTGTGATTAGAAATGATAAATTCATTGTTGACTGAGGTATCAAAAAATCGGTTCCAGCCTCTTAATAGAGCAAACAGAATACTATTCAATTAGCTTACAATTAGTTCCAAAATTTGCAATTGAAACTTCCACAAAGCCACGCAAACGGCTCGACTTATTTCATATCTCACCAAATATATTGTAACCATTCATTTGTATCGTTTACTGAAACATAATGTTCTTACTGCCACTATTATTCAATAATAATAAACATAATGTTCTTGCTGCCACCTTAATTTCAAATTCTAATCATTTGCTTATTTCCTTAAACGATATCTACATGCCAATTTCCGCTCCTACAGGTCAGTTTTTTATGAATACATGTATTGTTTTGCGACAGAGTACCCTATTCTTGTCTTAAAATTTCATAGAAATGATGCAGAAAATAAAACTTGAGCAGAATTCCATTAGTGTTTTAAGAATTTTGAAGAATAGATCAGTGCAGCGTTAAAGAAGGGGGGAGTAGATATTTAAAAATTACTTGATTGCAATAAAATGAACTGTTATACACTGGTTAATTATAAATTAAGGAAAATTCACAAAAATAGCGATAACTCCCTCAAAAATAAGCCAAACCGTGTAAAATTTGAGTATGTTGCCAAGTAAGAGTAGCTGAGTAAAACTGCGATATGCAAATTAGTGGCGCTGCACTCGGAATACGTCATCTGCGATGAGCATAAGTCCATATTTGAGAGCAAGCCCACATATCACTGGACAGTGACATCAGAAATCTGAGATAGCCAATTCGTAACAATGACCTCCAGGCATCATTTGCCTGCAGAACTGCGATGGAGAGCCATTGGGAGACTAGAGGCAGGACAAAGTCAAACAGAAGTGGCCAGATGGGTAAATGTGAGTCCTGTGGTTCATAGACTTTGGAGGCAATTTCAAACCACAGATTCGGCATCTAGGAGGTTCAGCCAAGGACGGCCAACTGCTACGACGAGCGCCGATGACCGATATTTGACATTATGTGCTCGCAGGAATAGAACCGCTACTCCGACTCATCTTAGATCCTCCCTTGCTGTAGCCACCGGAAGGCTGGTGTCAACGTCAACTGTGCGTAGAAGGCTTTAGCTTCATGCGAGGCGACCAGTTATTTGTGTGCCGCTCAAGTCACGCCATAAGAGGGACCGTTTTCAGTGGGCACGACAACATGTCCACTGGACGTCTGATCAATGGAGGGCGGTTCTCTTTACGGATGAGTCCAGGTTTAGTCTAGAAAGCGGTAGTAGGCGTTACTTGATATAGAGAGAACCTAGAACACGTTATCATCCGTCAAACATCCGTGAAAGAGATGCATATGGAAGGGGCAGTGACTGTGTTTGGGGTGGTATCTCTTTGGGTGGACGCAGAGACCTCCATGCCTTTCCAAGGGGAACCGTGAATGCTCAGATTTATAGAGATGACATTCTTGATGTCTATGTGCGCCCATATGCCGGGGCAATAGGTGATGCTTTCCTGTTACAGGACGACAACGCCAGACAGGGCTCGCATCGTAGATGATTATCTTCAACAGGAAACAATTATGCGCATCGAGTGGCCAGCTCGATCCCCGGACTTGAATCCTATCGAGCACGTTTGGGATGCTTTAGGCCCATATCACACGGCATTTGTTTCACACGAACAACTGTTTCGGACAATTTTTCTGCCTGGTTTAGTATTGAAAGAAAGACGTGCGACTTTTTCCTGCCTTTTCAAAAGAATTGCAAGTTGTTCGTTTTCAACCAATAAGCTATCAGATTCGAATGCTATTAGCTTGTTTGTAATGACGAACCAGTTTCCTCTGTGTTAACCCCAAATCATCTATGGTGATTGGCTATTGTGACAAAGCAGAAAAATTGTTCCAAACAGTTGTTCTTCCGAAACAAAACGACGTGTGATAGCAGCCTTAGGGAGACGTCTAGCTGCTCTCAATCCGTCCCCTCAAACCCTTGTCGCGCTTGCAACTGCTTTGCAAGAGCAATGGCTCTCGCTTCCTATGGAACTGATAGACAGCATAATTAAAAGCATCACATCGCTGTATGTGCTGTTTTGCTTTTAGAGGCGATCATATTCCATACTGAAGGTACTTTTCCTATAGCAAACTGGCACCTTCGATTTGTTCATTTCATATATGTGCTGATTTCTATACTACCATATTTGCCTGGTAATTTCTTTTTATGTTATTTGATACCTTACTATGTGTTGTATATTGTGAGTAATTTTCATTAAATTCTACATGTAACTTTTTCAGTAATCGTGATTTTTGTGATTTTTCCTTAATTTATGATAACCAGTGTAAATTTATACTCATTAGCAACAGAGTATCATTTGAGAAAATTACAATAAACGTAATCCATTTCTTTGGCTACTACAGTAAGCATTTCTAAGAAGTACTAACAAGATCAACAAACAATACAATTTTCTCATATCAATAGATGAAAGGGGGCATTTTACATTATTTGGTGGCTAGACATACTCTACATCTTTATCAATTGTAATACATAGGCCAGTCTTAAAACCCATGAATATTTAAACCGTATCTCTGAATATCTAACCGTATCAAAATAAATTATTACATAATTGAAAGCATACATTAATTCAAAAATAAACGACATTCACTTCAAGAATTTGATATCACTGAAAGCGAGGTTTTTAGTGTTAATATTGTTACGAATTTGGTATTTAAAAAGCTAATGTTAGTTCAATTATAAATCAAATGGTTTT